GTCTGTAAAATGGGGACGGTAACAGCCCCCACCCTCTGCGAGTGGTCGGGAGGGTGAATGAGTGGAGGGGGCTGTGAGGCACTAGGAGCAGTCCTGGCACTCGGGGAACACCATAGAAATGTTCGCTCTGGTGCCTGCGGCTGGCGTCCCCACTGCCTCAATGATTCTGAGCCTCGGTTCCAACGGGCAGGGCGGAGAGGTGGCACTGGTCGGTGGCGGACCCCAGCCTGGCCTGCCCCCTTGGCTGGTGGGGCACGTGAACCTCATCCCGACCTCAGCGCAGACGGCTGAGGAGCCAGAAACGGGCCCGGCGCCGTGATCAAGGCCGCATCACAAGGAGGCCCCAGGAAGCCACACAGGAACTTGGGAGCCCAAATCCTCTTCTGAGAACTTAATCCCCCACCCCTAACCCCAGATCAGCTGGTGCTAGATCTCGGTGGGAGGTCCCGGGTTAGCCACCAGGGCTAATTATAAATGCTGCTGGTGTGGGCTCTCACGACCCCATCGAAGGGCTTCTGTGGCTGACAGGGCTGGGGTTGTTTTCCCTGGAGAGATTAGCGCCCCAGAGTCAAGGGGGACACCATGGACTGGGAGTCAGGCAGACTTGGGGTCAACTTGCTGCTGTCACTTACAAGCCACCGGCCCTGGAGCAGGTCACTGTGCCCTGCCAAGCCTCAACTTTCTCGTCTGTAAAATGGGGATGAGATTGCCCACCTCACAGGATGGTGGCAGGGTGTGTGTATGTGGCAAATGTACCCTCAAGGTGGCAACTTCACTGCCACATCACAGGTGCTGAGTAGGGTGGGTGGTGCATAGTAGGTGTCCTACTCCCTCCTGCCTTCAATCTCAGAGCAGTTTGTTTCCTTCTTGACAAACAGGAGCCAGGATTCTCCGGCATGTACCTGGGGCTTGTTCCCTCTCCCTGTCTCCATGGCCCTAGTTTCTGCCGGGTCTATTTGTAGCAGCCTCCTTGCTGGTCTCCCGGCCTCTAGTTACTTTTCTTGAAGCTGCCCTCGAAACCGGCTGCCAAGATGGCCTTTCAAAAATGATCCCCACTCTCCAGCTCCAGAACTTTCCATGGCTCCCCAGGGTCTTCATGGTCAACCCCCCTCTTCTTGGAATGGCATTCAAGGCCCTCCTGCCCATCCTCCCCACAAGGTTTCCTCTGAGTTCCCCTCTGTGTCTTCACGCAGTGCCTCAGTCCTCTTTGCCTTGTCAAGCCCCAGCTCGCTCATTGCCTTCTCACCTCTGTGCCCACCCCATTGTGCCCCCAGCTGGTTAGGTGCCCACTCCTCGTCCCCACAGCTCCTTGCTTCCCCACAGCACTGGGATTTTCTCTGGCGGTCTCTGCCATGACATATGAGCTTCCTGAGGACAGGCCTCGGCCTGTCCACTGTCGTCTCCCAGGCGTGGCACAGAGTAAAGCAGAGGCCATGAGCTGGGTCTCCACCACGACCAGATGGGTAACATCCATGCGAAGGGGCTTAGTGTAAGACTACAGGGAGCGCTGGGGCCTGTGGGAAACAGGAGAGTCGTACCCCCTAACACCCCCGATCTCTCAGCTCCGACTGACCCTCACCCTGCAGAAACGTGGGGTAATGCCAGCCAGACCTTCCAATTTTTCAAAAAAGCCAGAAATCAAAAATCTTCTATGCAAGTTCCCAGTGTTTTGAAACACTGTGAGGATGCTCAGTGACGTCTGGGGAGCACGTGCATTGGACAGCACCCTGAGTCTGAGCGAAGCTGAGACAAGATGGCCTACTGACCACCCACGCCCCTTCCTTACTACAGAGCAGAGGTTCTCAACCAGTTGCGGGGGGCGATTTTGCCCCCTAAAAATCTAGTGAGTAGAGGCCAGGGATGCTGTTAAACATCCTACAATGCACAGGACAGTCCCCACAACAGAGAAGAATCCGGCCCCAAGTATCCAGCTACTACAGCCTTGTTGTAGCTGATTAACTGAAGACTACATTTCCCAGCCTCATTTCCATCTAGATGGGGTCATATGACTATTTCTCACCAATAGACTATGAGTGGAAGTGATGTGTGTCACTTCCAGGAAGAAGTGGTTAAAAAGTGGGTAAGCCTTCTCTACTGCATCCCCTCCATCAAGGTGCTGGTCAGATAGAAGTTCTAGTTAGATAGAACATCCCCGGAAGTTAGAGGAGGGCAGAGCCACAAGGTGGAAAGAGCCTGGGTCCCAGTCACCTGACCAGAAGCACCACCAGGTGTCTGAGCTAGAAATAAACTCTTATTGTGTTAAGTTCTGGATTTATTCTTAACAGAAGAGGGTTATCTGGACGACTAGAAGAGCATTTGTCAGCTCATCTTTGTTCTTCCTCCCCGAGAGAGCATCTGAGGGCAGTGGAAACCTCTGTGCTGTGGGTACTGTCACCCTTAGCTTCTAGTTCCGTGGGTGCTAATGGGTGGAGCTGGGACCTCTGCCTCGACCCCTGCCTTGGAATAGGACTCAGAGCCCACCAACAGTTATAATAAAGGGTGATGAGTGACCTGAGGGTGCAGGGCCCTGCCTGGGTGAGGGAGGCATGGGGAAGACTCTGGAGCAGGGGGTGCCTGAGTATCATCGATCCTTCTTGAAGCACACATCAGCCCACAGCCTGGACTCGGGGCAAGAAGAGCTCCTTGTTCCCAATGGGATCCTAAACACTCACTATGTGCTGGGCTCTCTACATTCAGGTGTAGGAATGAAACATCAGCAAAGTTAAAGAACTTGCCGGAGTTCACAGAAACAAGAAAGCGATGAGCAGAGATGTGAACCCCCGTCTCTCTGACTCACAGCCCATGGTTTTTAGCCCCATCAGTGTATCCCAAAGTTTAACAGATGCTGTTTGTGCGCTCTTTATATTCTTTGAGCTTTTAATGTTCCAGCACACGCCTGGGCCTTTCTCTCAGCCCTTCCAGGGGTGGGTTGGAACTGCCAGGGTGTTAACTTTCCCAGGAGCAGCCCCTAGCCAGTGAAAGATGAGAGTTACAGAATAAATACCCCGGCTCTCTCGCCTCGCAGTGGGATGACTCTGAGGTACATCTTCTGTGCCGTCTCCTGGCAGTCCTTAGTGGGATTGGGCCCTAGTTGCCCATAACAGCAACCTGCTTAATAACGCACCCTTTATCAGCCTCCTTCCCTTTCTGGTCTCACTTCCCCACTCTCCATCTGGTACTTTGTGAGTTCCTTTTATAAACCACTTATACTCAAATCCTGTCTCAGGATCTACCTGTGGAAGACCCAACCCTCACAAAGTATGGTTTGCACACCCTTGAGACATGTAAGTTGATTTCAGGTGGCACTGGTGAACTTTTAAAAATTGACTGCTTAAATGTGAATTACAGAAGTGTTTAGGAAGTAATCGTATGGAGATATGACAAAAATTGTGAAGGTGGTATGAGAATAACACCTGAAAACACTGCACTGTACAGTTCAAGATGAGGTGCCTCTCTGTCCTGGCAAGAATGGAGGCACGTAGTTTAATTTGTTTTCTCATCATCAGCTTTGCTGCACTTCCCTCTTTGCCAGGACTGCTAGGAAGCTCAGAGAGAAATCTGCTCAATCGCATTTTCATTCCTGAAGGATGCCCCACTTCTGACATACAGTTTATCATCTTTCTGAGTTCCTATTTAACTGGCATGTGTTGAGTCATTAGGACTGGCTGCCTCAGAACCTGGTTGGCAGGAGGCTGGAACTGCATTATAAACAAACAGGATGTCATTATGTATAGGAGCCTTGGAATCGGATGGACCTGGATTCAAATGCCAGCTCAACAACTTGGGGAAGCTCGGGCAATCACATCGCCTCCCACACTCTTGGTTTCCTCATCTGTAACATGGATGATGGGGCCTACTTCCTAGTGAGGATTAAATGAACTGAATCCTTATAAAGCATCAAGCACAGAGCTTGGCCAATGGTAAGTGATCAGTGTTAACTGTTATGAGGATTATTATCATTATAGGGACTTTCATTCCAATGAGGCAAGAGGAACGAATTCGGGGAACTCTGTACACCTCCAATGTCAGGTGCAACCCTGGGTCCAGTACCCCGGCTTGACAATCAGAAACAGAAAGCTCACAGTCGCCAGGCTAGGCTGAAGCTATGAGGGTAAGCAGCGTGTCAGGACTGATCACCATTAAATTCTTGCGACCTAGTACAGTGTTTAGCACACACTCAGTATTTGTCGAATGAATGAATGAATGAGCAGCTGCAATGAGCCAGGGTAGGTAGTTCTGTTTGTGGGCGCTGTGCAGCAAGGGCGTCTTGGGGCCCTCGAAGACCGTCCTGCTGTGGGTTTCAGGGCACAGAGGCATTCTTCTCGAAGCCTCACAGCAACCCAGGAGTGGGCTGTCTCTCATTTTACAGACACGAAAGCTGAGATGCAGAGACACAAAGCAATTTGGCCAAAGTCACCCAGGTAAGGAGTGGTGAGGCCCCCAGGCCAGCAGGAAAGCCCTTCCTCCTGGCCCAACCTCACCTGCACTCCTGGGCCCCGAGTCCAGTCTTCCCAGAGAAATGAGCTTATTTCAGTCCCTTCCTCACTGACCACAAAGACTCAGCTTGGTCCTCAGAAATATTTGGAAAGTTTTATTTAAATGTTTTGTGTTCCCTTTTAACCAACACCAAAAAGAGAAAAATTTTTTTTGCTGTTCCAAATAGGAGAGTTGCCTCAGAGAGGAGCTGGCATGTGTGTTCAGAGCTGGGCCAGCCCGGGCCCCCCTGGGGTTGGATGGCTAGTCCCAGGAGCTGACTTCCCGGGAGCCCCGGGCGGCCTTGGAATGAGCGAGGGAGCAAACCTCATCCTGAGGAGAAGGACCTGGTCTCCCCTGCAGGTAGGGACACGAGCATGGTGGGGCTAGGAGGATCCAGAGGGAAGGAGAGGGGAATGGGAGGGTCGGATCCGGAATGTTCCGTGGAAGCTCCAGGGCCTCCAGGGCCTCCAGGTCTGGAGAAATATGTTTGCTAGAAAAATAAGATGCTTTGCGAGTTTCTGCAGTCTGTGCTCTCTGCCTGCCCAAGAGAAACCTACCCTGTTAGCCAAAGGAGCAGCGGGAGGGGCCGAGGCCAAGAACTGGTGTGGCCCCAGTGGGGGGTTCCAGAGGGGAGCAAGGCGGGCAGCAGACTTTGGTTTCCTGGGTCCCCTTTCTGGCAGCTGCAGCGGCTGTGGAGGCCTCCGCATCCCCGCCCTTTGAGGTGTGGGCTGCTGGGCGGTGGGCAGCGCTGGGAGAGGGAGGCTGGCCATCTGTCACGGGCTGGTGGGAGCCCGGGCCCTGGGCCCTCAGAACAGGATGCCCAGGGGGAGCAGGGCCAGCAGGAGGAGCAGGGGGCCTGGGGAGGGCCTGCCCGCCAGGCTGGCAGAGGCACAGTGGTTGCGGTTGGCACCGATGCAGGCTGCATAAGCCATCACGTGAGGGATGTAGTTCTGCTCGTGGACGCCGTGCAGCAGGTGTGCCATGGGGCCCTTGGCGAAGACGGCTACGTCCTCCCCACCGTGAGTCTCATGGCGCAGGGGCACGGCGGACTGCGCCTGGTAGTTGTTGTGAGCTGCGGGCCAGAAGAAACACTTGCTGAGAGCCTGCCAGGGCCTGGTGCTATGTGGCAGCTTCTCCGTGCCCCTTCCAGGCTGGCTTGAATGCCCCCGTTTTACAGAAGAGGAAACAGGGTCAGTGTGGAGAAGTCATTTTGCACAAGGCCACAGAATTTGGATCTGGGTCTGTTCTGACACAGAAGCCTGTACTCACTACCCCCAGAGGAGAAAATCAACCTCATCCGGGCTGACGGGATTAGAAGAGAAGAGGCAACCCAGGAGAGCGTCTTACCATTGGCTGCACCATTAGATCCCCAGGGGCCACTGGGGACATAATGAACAAATGAACGTTCAACAACATGGAATTGGATGCACACACTGGGAGGGCTCAGATATTGGAATATTATACAGCCAGTAAAAATGACAGTGTAACATATCAAGCCCCTACAGGTGCCAGGCTCTGTGTTAAGCTCATCAGACCCATTTAGTCCTTTGGGCAACCTTGAGAGGTAGAATCCTTTTATGGAGGAAACTGAAGCTGAGAAAGGTGAAGTTATGCGCCCGAGGTCACAGAGCGGCTCAATTATAGAAGGAGATTCGAATTGAGATTGTTCTGACTCAAGACGTGGCTGTTCTTTTTTGTTTGTTTGTGAGGAAGATCGGCACTGAGCTAACATCTGCCAATCCTCCTCTTTTTGCTGAGGAAGACTGGCCCTGGGCTAACATCCATGCCCATCTTCCTCCACTTTATATGGGACGCCGCCACAGCATGGCCTGACAAGCGGTGCATCGGTGCATGCCCGGGATCCGAACCAGCGAACCCCGGGCCGCTGCAGTGGAGCGTGTGCACTTAACCACCTGCGCCACGGGGCTGGCCCCAAGACGTGGCTGTTCTGAGATCCCTGACCTTGATCACAAGCCTACACTCTGTTCCCAGGCCCATCCCCAAAGGGTGCCCTACCCGCTCCCAGCCCTGGGTCTTGGCAGTCTTACCATAGTCCACCATGGAGACATTCTCTCGCTCACCACCCACCACCTTGTAGCCAGGCCCATTGCCATACAGGATGGCAGTGAAGGGCTTCTTGTCTGTGTCGCTCACCATGGGGGCCAGACCTGCACAGGGAGGCGTTGGTCCGGGGGTCACGTTGGAGCACCAGGAGCATAGTCCCCAGGCCCCAGTTTGGTAACCCCTAGATCCCCTTTGAAGGACCCTGAACCACCTCCATTAAGCCACCTTCCAAGCCCAATTTACTTCCAACCAACTATCCCTCAGTCTTCACTGTGTCCACATCCTTCCCATCTGTTGATCTGTCCGTCTGTCCAACCATCCGTCCTCTTCTCTCCCCGTCCATGTATCCATCCTCCCTCTCATTCTTTTTTTTTTTTTTTTTTTTGTGAGGAGATCAGCCCTGTGCTAACATCCGCCAATCCTCCTCTTTTTTCGCTGAGGAAGATTGGCCCTGGGGTAACATCTGTGCCCATCTTCCTCCACTTTATATGGGATGCCGCCACAGCATGGCTTGCCAAGCAGTGCGTTGGTGCGCGCCCGGGATCCGAACCGGCAAACCCCCAGCCGCCGCAGCGGAGCGCGCCCACTTAACCACTTGCGCCACTGGACCGGCCCCATCCCTCTCATTCTTCTATCCATCCGTCGTCCAGGTAGCCACCCATCCACCCACCCATGCACTCACCTCACTCCGTCCCCTCACCCTGCATATCTCACGAGTAACTTCTCCTCCCTACCTAATTCTCATTGAGCCCCAACTATGCCAGGCCCTGGGCTTGCTGGCTCTCCCCCGCCACGCCTGCTCCCAGATGGGCAGACCCTGGGAGTGCCCAGCTACCACCCAACAGAGGCCCACCTACCAAAGATAGAGTTGCCACGGGGGGTGTACCCGCCAAAGGTGAAGACGTGGGAGTGGTCAGCAGTGACGACGGTCAGCGTGTCTTGCAGGGAGGTCATGCTGCCCGCCTGCCCGATTGCCCGGTCCATCTCCACCACCTCGTGCAGTGCCTGCTTGGCCTTGCCCTCGTGGTGCCCGTGGTCAATCCTGCCTCCTTGGGACACCAAGGCAAAGGCCTGAGGTGAGGGGGAGGGGAAGACCTGCAGCCCCAAGCCCTGCCACACTACCGTCGGATGAACCCTTCTGTGATGGGGCACTGCCACGTGCCACGCACCACCCCAGGCATTTCGTGCTGCCGTTCAGCCTTTCCAGCAGCTCAGAGAGGGCGAGTCGCTGGACCAAGGGCCCGGGCAAGGAGAGCGCAAAGCCGGGATTTAAGGCAGATCCACCGACTGGAAAGCTTGTGCTCTTTCCACCACCCCTGCTGCTCCCAGCACTGCTTCTTCAGCTGCTCGAAGGAGTCCCCACAGACCTCGGAGAGGCAGGGAAGGGAACCGACACGCCTGAGTGCCTACCAGGTGTCAGGCACAACAAGCTGATGTCTTGTTTCCCCTTCACAACAATCCTGGGCAGAGTTGGGTACAATCAGCCCCATTCAGAGATGGAGCAACTGAGGCCTACAGGGGGGAGGTGACATGCCTGAGGTGGGATTTGAATTCAGGTGTGACTCACGCTAAAGCCCCTGTTTTTCCATCTCCCCTTTAAATACATCCCCTCTGAGCATAAAGGGTGTTGAAAGCCCTTGGTGCCTGGACAGCGCCCACGGCAGGCTTCCATGCCACTCCCACCCCCAGGTGAGTGCACGAGGCCCGGTGTTAAGCCTGGCTTAAAGGTCACGGCTAAGGGCTGCATGACCTGAGGGAACACATCCCAGCCTCCAACAGGAAGACGCAGCCTGGGTGGACGCTCCCCGCTCTGAGGGTCCTGAGCCTGGGCGCCTGGTCACCCTCCCCTCCCGCCGGCCTGAGCCTCACCACTCTGGCCTGGCAGGCTGGCAGGGTGGGTCCTCCCTTTGTTGTGGCTCTGGGAGAAGTTGGCCTGGCAGGCCCAGTCCTGGCCCCGCTCACAAAGAGGACTGCTCCCGGGGGAGCCCGTGCTCACCACCGCCGGTTCCTGGCTGGTTCCTCGGAGTCAGAGGCCTGTTCAGGGCCAGGCCGAGACCGCCGTGCTTGAGTGGGAACCCCGGGGTTTGGCAAGAAAGCAGCCAAGCTGGGCTGGCAGCCACTGGCCTCTGGAGGGCAGAGGGGCCTGAGCGTGTATGTATGTGTGGTGAGAATATGTGTGCAAATATGTCTGTGTGTGTGTGTGTGTGTGTGTGCACATGTGGATCTCAGTGAGGCAATATCAAGAACCATGGAAGACAGTGGCTGTTAGAACTTTAAAAGATTCCAGAAACTTTATCACTTCCTCACACTGCCTATTGTTATTGATCTAGCTATTGTGTACTCATAATAATAATAATAGAAACACTGAGGATTTATACTCTGCTGGGCCCTGTTCCAAGTACTTTATGTCTCCAAACACAAAGGAGGCTAATAACCCTCCTAGGAGAGGGGGACTATTTTTGGCCTGGTTTTACAGAAATGTATAGGTAGAGGTCACACAGCCAGTGGATGGCAGCATCAGGACAAAGACCCGAGAGTCTGACTCCAGGGCCTCACAACAGCTCTGGGAACCTCCATGAAGGTCAGCGTATAGCACTGCTGACTCCTGAAGAGTCTGGCTCTCCCACACTGGGGGACCCCAGGATATCCCAGGGGTGACTCATGAATCTGACCTTGGCCCCACACATGCCTAGTAACAGCAGATGTGTGCCGTCCAGCTGTGAGGGCTCCTGCAGACCCATGGGCATCTGCAGAGGAGGACGCTGGGCGTGCGTCCTTGAGCCCAGGCAGGCAGCTGCTCAAACCGCGTGTGTCTACTGGGGCCTGCTGATTTGTCTTTTGGGAGGAGTGAAGCTGAGGGGGCCACATGCCCCTCCAGAGCCAGGCCTCAGGGACGGACCCCCGAAAAGAAGAAACCCACCTCCTCTCTCAGGAAGCCTTCCTGGACTAGTAAGTCTGACGTGCCATCTCCAAGCCAAAGGAGAACAGCTTGTTGGGCTGGGAGCTTCAACACCATCCACAACCCACCCTCCTTACCCCCAAAAGGAACTTGCCCCTCTCCCTCATCCAAACTGGACGATTCTCTTTGAGAGCTGGACCGCCCACCCCCTGACCCCAGGGCTGTGTGTCCAGAAGCCCCCAGGGAAGCAGCCCTGCAGCCAGGCCTGGGGTCCCTACCTTCCACCAGCAAGAAGAAGCCTTTGGGGTTCTTGTTCAGGATCTTGATGGCCATCTCCACCATCTCAGAGAGTGACGGGTCAGTCACGTTGTCCCTGTTCAGCTCGTACTGCATGTCCCCCGGCTCAAAGAGACCTGAAGAGGACACGAGGTGGAGGCGGATGGCGAGAGCCCATGACCCTGCTGGGGGACCCCCCCACACAAGGAACATGGGGTGTCTCAGGGAACACTTGGGGGGAGAGTGGGGGCAGGAAGCTCATCAGGGTGGCTCCTGTGGGCCCAAATCCTGCCAGGGGCTTTGAAGGCACTGCCTCCTTTCATCGTCGCAGCCACACCAGGGTGAGAAGGTCACCAAGTCCATTTTACAGAGAAGCAGACTGAGGCTCAGCTGGTCAGTAACTTGCTATTTTCAGCTGCTAAGTGGCAGATCTGGGGTTCAAATCCATCAACCTACCTCTAGCCTGAAGGGCTCCAGACACGGCTCCACAGCCCTCAGGCAAAAGACTGGGTCCTGGACTCGACGGGGCAGCTTGGCTTTGTATTTACATGTCATTTACAGGTTACGTTTGAAGGGCACAGTGTCATATGCAGTGAAACAGCAGAAGGTTTGGGGTCACTGTCCCTTCTGTTCACTGAGCTGGGTTCTCTCACTTGGGAAAGGAGGAGAGTGACCCATTCCTTGCCTACATCACAAGGTTCCATGTGTACCAAGTTGGTATTTCTGGTCCTGGATGTCCTTCCAGAACACCTTGCCCCTTCCGTGAGTGTGCGCGCAGCCAACAAGAGCTCCAATTACAGAGAGCTCACTCTGTGCCACGTGCTGTTCTGAGTGCTTCGGAAGCACACAGGCGCCAGCCTCCAAGATGGCGCCCAATAATCCCTGTCTCCTGGAATTCACGCCCTTGTGTGTCTCCTCCCACACTGACTACAACTAGGCTGTGAATCCAACAGAATACTGCAGAAATGACAGCGTGTGACTTCCAGGCTGGGGCATACGACATTGTGGCTTCTGCCCTGCATACTCTTGGATTTCTGGGGGAAGCCAGCCACCATGTTGTGAGGACACTCAAGCAACTCCATGGAGAGATCCACATGGGAAGGAACTGAGGCCTCTTGCCAACACCTGCACCAACCTATGAGCCATATGAGTGAGCCATCTTGGGAGCCCCAGCCCCAGTCAAGCCTTAGATGACTGCAACCTCATGAGAGACCCAGCTAAGCTGCTCCCAAATTCCTGACCCAAAGAAACTGTGCCAAATAATAAATGTTTACTCTTGTTTTAAGCTGTGAAGTTTTGGGGTAATTTGTTAGGCAGCAACAGATAACTTTTACAATGCACTAGCTCATTGAATCCTCATGACAACCTTGAGGTAGGCCCTATCATTATCACCATTTTGTAGAAGAGTCCTTATTCTACTTTATGGAAGAGGAAACTCTGAGGCACAGAGAGGAGAAGTCACTTGCCCGAGGTTGCATAGCTCATAGAGGGTAAGAGAGAGATTTGAACTCAGCACTCTGGCTCTAAGATCCATGAGTGGAAGTCATGCTACACGGGTACACGCACAGCTCTACGCAGCCTGTGTGGGGTATGGGATGTGTGCCGTGTGACCCAGGCAAGCAAAGGGCTGTGTGTGTCTGGGATCCTCCAGGTGCTCCTCTATGAGCCCATAATCTCAATGACACACCCAGGACCCAGGGGCTGTGTTCCCTGGGTTGCAGAAGATTTTGCCACGACTTGCTGGGCACAACAGCCCGGTGGGAAAGAGGACCCAGAAGTCTGCATGGTGGTGCTCGGGGTCTCATTCCATCTAGCCTGGAGCCCCCTCGGGGCCCCACACCTGTTCCCCACTCTCTGGGGGCAGCCCCCAGTCAAGACCAGCAGAGACAACCTGGTTGACTTCACTCCCAGCCACACAGCAGAGCTGGCTCCAGGTCCCCCGCCCCACAGCCTGGGATGTTTAAGTCCCAGCTCCAGCCAGGGTTCAGACTGCCCGGGGCCACAGCTCTAATCAGCTGTGTGGCATGCCACAGGTCGCTTCCCCTCTCTGAGCTTCAGTTTCCCTTTGTGCTCAGTGGAGCTCTTCACCCCGCACAGCCAGCAGATTTCAGGCCTAATTCTACGAACCAGAACCCCTTTCTCAACCCTCCCAGGTCCTGGAGCCTAAGAGCAAAGGTCCCTAAGTAGCGGGGCAGGCTGGGGCAGGCCTTGCCCCCAGGTGCCGGACTCACACAGCCTCTGCCCCAGGGCACCCAGCTGGATGCCCTCCACTCCACCCCCCTGCACTTACCCAAGAGGTAGTCCACGGTGGCGGGGTCAAGGTTCAGGAGTTCCGTGCGGTTCCAGACGTAGTGGGAGTGCTAGGAGGAAGGGCCTGGGTCAGCTGAGCAGGGGCTGGGGAAGTCAGAAGGACTGAGCCCAGCTGGTCTCAGGGTCTGGGGCATGTATGTTTCCTTTAGTCATTTAATGATCCCTCCCTGAGGACCTACCATCCCTACCCTCAAGAAACGGCAAATAAATCGGCAATTCTAATGCCGGGGGATGAGAATTCTGAGACCAGGGGGCGCTCTGAGCCCAGAGGCAGGATCAGGGAGGGCTTCCTGGCGGAGGTGATGTCCTATTGGGGCCCTGGAGGACAAGGAGGAATTGATCAGCCTGGAGTCAGGGAGTAGAGTTCCAAGCAGGGGGGAGGGATCATGGGGCAAAGAAGAGGAAGACACAGGTCACAAGGGGCCTTGAGTGCCCGCTGAGGGGTATGGGCTGTGTGTGTTCTGGGGTCTGTGGGGAGGCAGGGAGGAAGCAAGGGCCTAGCTCTGCCCTGGGGACCCCATCTAAGCAGGTGACAAAGGAAGTGCTGCTTCCCGGGGACGTAGAGGCCACAGGAAGAGGCTGGCCAGCTTGCCTGGAGATGGCACCATTCAGAGCCTGGAGTGGGGTCCCACACTGCCAGGAATCAGCTGCGTGTCCTTAGGAGAGCCTCTTGCCTTCTCTGGGCAATGGCAATGGGACCAGTGGTTCTCAAACCTCAGGGGGTGCTACGGGAGGGAGGGTGAGAAGACTAAGGAAGTACAGCACCCCCCACCACTTCACTGAGATGGCTTTCCTGTGGTATCTCATTTAATCCTCACATCAGACCTACCAGGTGGGGACCGTTTTTCCCTTTTACAGATGAGGACACTGAGACACACAAATGACATAGCTATGAAGTGGTAAAGGTGAGGCTGACTCTAGAACTCACTCTTAAGGCGTGATTTTCAGGGAAATTACGGCCTATCTGGGACCCCACAATGACACCCCATTGGTCCAGTGGTGTAGACTCTCTCTCCCTCTTGAGTCTAGACTGAGCTCTAGGATGAGCACCCTGTCTGGTCCCATGTTCCAGGTGGAGAAACAGAGGCTGGGAGGGGAGTTGTCTGTCTGGCTTGGGCTGGGAAGGGGCTCTGGCCCAGCTGGAGCTGACTCAGAAGGATGGAAAAGGTTCAAAGCGGCTCCACTCCACCCCACCCCCACCCGTGGGGGCCTGTTCCCCAGGCTCCATCCCCACCTCCCTCTTGGCCCAGCCCCATCCCACGAGGCCTCCCGGGGGGGCCAGTCCTGGAACCCTCTGAAATCCAACCCCAGAGTGACATCAAAGTGGCTGCCAGGCTGCTCCCCACTGTCTTCAGCCCGACCACAGTCATTTCCAGACCCAGCTGCCCAGGCCCAGCAGCTGGCAGCTGAGATTTGAAGGGCAGGGCTGCTCCAGGGAGCCAGCCCTCGGGGCCTTCCCACGCTCTGGCCTCCCTTCCCAGCACGTGCCCTTGCCCTGGCCCAAGCCAGCTCACTGTGAGGGCTTCCACCTCAGCCCTGGCTCAAATAGTCCCCTCCCTGCCACCTCTGCCTGCAAGATCCTCCCACTACTGCTGCCTCCTCCTCCCTCCCCCCGCCCCCCCCCCCGCAGGGCTTCTCGGCCCCTCCCTCTGTGGTCTGTCCCCCTGGGTTCCCGCCACCCAAGCACAGTGTTCCACATTTGCCTGACCATCCGCTTCATCCTCTGGACCTCATGCCTCGCCAGGGGCCCTGCATACAGTAGGGGCTCAGGGGGATTGAACCTCCATGCAGGCTGTTCCTTGGCCCACCCTCCTCCTTACTGCCTAGCTCTCTCTCTTCCCTCCCTTGAAGGAAGGAATTGATTGATCACCTACTATGTGCCATTCATATATCTGCTAGACCATCTGAACCCGTTGAGGTAAGAATTATGACCCCGTTTTACAGAGAAGAAAGCAGATTCGGAAAGGGCTCACCCAGCCCCACCCCACTGCAGGCCGCCCCTGCAGCCCTCTGGCCCTGGAACAGGCTACCTTGTGTCTGGGTTTGAAGCTTTTCCAGATGTCGATGAGGTTCAGGCCGTCCAGCCTTGTGCCCCTGGCCTTCTCGTCCGTCTCATGCTCCACATCGGTTCTATTCTTGGGGAACATGTACTTCCGGCCACCCCCCATGATCACCTAAAGGGGACAGGAGCCATCAGTACCTGGGAGGTTCCAAGACATCCAGAAGCCTCAGGAGCCCCACCTGGAGGGCTGGGCTTCTGGAGGCCCTGGGGATGGTGTGGACGCTTCTCCAGAATGGCGAGTCCCGGGTGCAGTCCATGCTGCCTGCCTCGAGCCTCCACTTTTCCAGTTGAGGGAGATGAAATCATGAATCTCTTGGGGCTGTGGTTTGGGGCTTCTGGGGGAAATATCAGAGCTACTGATAACCTCCCTCACCTGGCTTTCCAGAAGCCTGACACATAACTCCCACCTGTGTAAGAATAATACCATCTACAGAGCGCTCACCGGGTGTTAGGCACCAATCGCTTCAGATACAGTATCTCGTTCCACTTCACACCAAGGTTGCAGGGGAAGCTGTGTCCCCATTTTCCAGGTAAAGAAAGGGGCACAGAAATGTGATTTCTTTCCCCCGAGGCCACACAGCCAGTAAGGGACAGAGCCAGGATTCAAACCTGAGGCTTCTCCGCAGGGCTGAGGACAGGGACCCCGAGGGCCTCGTCTCCCCACAGGGAGAGGCCTCGGCAGGAGGCCTCGGGGCGGCCCAGCTGGGAGCCTGGGCAAACAGTGGCCGGCGCTCCGTCTGTGTAGTCCCCGCCAGACTAATTTCAGCCACCGAGGCTGGCGTGCGCGGGCGGATGGACGCGGGACTGTTTGTTTTCCTTGGGAGCCCTTGTTTGAAGTTCTGACTATTTTTAAAACGGGGCCAAGAGCATAACAGCCGCCGCCTGCGGTGACCACCACACTGGTGTCCTCCTGTCACCACAGGCGTCAGGCCAGGCCGCCACCCCTGGCCAACACGACACCTCAGGAGAGCGGAGCCCAGCTATGGCTGACCTCAGATCCACCGTCCGGGCCTGGCATGTGATGGGTGCCCTTCCCCACCTTCCACCCCATTTCCCTCCTGAGAACCCGGGTTCTGTGAGGAGTCCAGGCCGGTGGTCGAGGGGGGCCCAGGACCAGTGTGCAGCCTGGGGAACTGGGAAGGGTATGGGCTCTGAAGTCAGACCTGGGTTTGAATCCTGACTCTATCGCTTATTGACCAAGGGCCTGTCACCTAACCTCTCTGAGCCTGTTTCCTTATCTATAAAATGGAAATAACACCCACCCCCAGGACTGTCACAGGAGGAAATGCGGTGTGGACCCAGCACCCCGGGGTGGGGGGCAGGGGCTCCGTGGTAGGCATTTTCACTGCCAGAGTAGTGGAGGTCAAAGTATTTCCATGGAGGTAAGTTCTCCATGGCCAGCTCCAGCCCAGGAGCCCTGGAGGTAGGGCAGGCTGGGAGAGGCAGAAGGAGAAGGGGACCCCGGGTCACTGGCCCCTTGCCCTCCCCCATTGTTCCCACAGAACCTGACCCCTTGGCGCTTTCAGAGTGGAAAATGAAGCCCCCAATCTTCTTGCCCGGAGCCTCATCATTTCCAGCCCCAGCAGGGACTTCACACGCTCATTAAACTCCCAAATAACAGACTTGCTGTTTGGCTTTGGGGTTTGGGTTTGTGTCTTTCTTCTTTTTTAGCAAAAGATATTTATTTTCAGGGCGGACACCAGGATTTTTGTTTCATGTATAGCCTGGGGGCTGGGGGGATTTGGGGGTTCTGGGGTGGTGGTCATGCAGGAGCAGACAGGGGAGGAAAAGATGAGCATGGGAGAGGAAGGGAGGAGGGGCAGCCCTCACACCCGCCCCACCGCCTCACTCACACCCTCGCTCATCCCCCGGGGCCTCTGGGGACCCCTTCAGGCCACCCCTCACCCCCGCCACGGGAGAAGCCCTCCCTTAAGCACCGGTCCCCCTCTCAGGCTGTTCCTGCCAAATCTCTCTGAAGAGCGGCCCCGTAATTACACCCTGTGCTTGTACAACAAATGTTCTCACATCCATGACCTCATCTCGGCCTCCAGCGGCCCTGGGAGGGGGCAGGTGGGGATCTCTGTTCTTGTTGCACAGGTTGGGGAACTGAGGCTTAGGGCAGGGAAGTGACTTGCCCCAGGACACGTGTCGGGGGAGGCAAAGTCAGGATGGTGGCTTTGCCTCGGACATATGCTCACTAGGAGGGGTCAACACGCCTGTTTGTCCTGAAGGGGGTACTCGGTCCACTGCTCGGAAAAGGGATGTCATGAGCTGGTAGGAGGGCCAGGTGGCACTCAGAAATCGGGGGAGACTGCACTGCAATTGGGGGCAGAGGGCGGGTTTGGTGGGGGTAGACACAGAGGTGAGGGGTAGGTGGGATCTGGGGGCTTCTCTGAGCCTCACTGAACCCCCATTCTAGGCTCAGGGGGGCAAAGCCCCCTTGCCCCCTCACCAGCCCCCAGCGTTAGGTAACAAACTAGAGGTTCTCATGTAGGAATAGAGTAGGGACCCGCCTGAGCATCAGGTGGACGACGTCTGGGGCGCATGTGCCTGCCTGCACACATGAGCCTGTTCAATATGTCAAAGCTTGTGTTTCGGGGCAGGGCCACGTGGCTCACTCATAATGCTACCACTTTCTAAGCACTTACTAGGGATCAGGCCCCGCGCTACACTCTACAGGGATTATTTCATTTAGATCTTGCAATGTGCTTATGAGATAGTTACAGTTCACAAAGGAATGTAAGAGGGAAGGCTCAGAGAGGTTAAGTAACTGACCCAAGGTCACACAGCTAGCCATCAGCAGGGCAAGGATTTGAACCCAAGTTTTAAAATGAGAGCTTGTGCTAACCACTGCCCATACCACCTTTTCTCTGGGCATGCTGGTGGAGTACAGGGGACCCATACCTGTCTGTGCACGTGGCAATGTGCAGGGCAGGGACTCCCCTCCGATGGCACTGTGTCAACTCCCCCTCCCATGTTGGGGAAGGGCAGCGCCAGGTTCCAATTTACGGAATAATCCCTGGGCGCCTGGTTCCCGGGGTGCGGTGGTGGCCGCATCAGGGTTGATCCCACAGCCCCACCGCAGAAATCCTACCGTGCCTCCCTGCCCCGACCGCAAATCCCCTAATGGGCTGGGAGCCCTCCCAGGTGTGTGGGGAGCCAGGCCAAGCTGCTTTTCCCGGGCCAGCCTGGGCCTGAGGCCTCAGCCCACCAGAGCCCCCCTCACAAGCCCGTCCGTCCTCGCTCTGGCAACACCCCGCACTCGCCTCGATGTCCTTGATGTTGTGCATGAGCTGGTAGGCAATGTCCTTGCAGCCCTGGCTCAGGGCCTCCTGGGGCATCTCGTTGTCTGAGTACCAGTCGCGGTCGGCGGAGTGGGCATAGGCGGCACTGGGGGTGGCGTGGTTCACCCGCGTGGTGGTCACAACGCCCACGGATTTCCCTGGGGGGTGGGAGAGGAGGGGTTGGCTTCATCTGGAGACGGGGGTGTCCAAGCTGCCTTCTCCCTTGTCCTGGCTGAAGACTGGCCTCTGGTCAGTTCCGCTGACTGCCTGGGCCTCAGTCTCCCCGTCAGTACTAAAGCGGGGGGATGGGGGCTTCCGAATCTCCTGGCAGCTCAGACACTCTGCCTCTGTGACTCCCCTGCTCTCGAGGGCCCTGAGCTGTGAGCACCTGGGCTGGTATCCTCCCTCCCTCAAGGACCCCGCAGAGCCCCACCCCTGCAGGAAGCCCCCCGGTGCACTGCAAGAACACAGGGGCCCCTCCTAAGGGCTCTCAGGTGGAGGTGGTTCTGTCACCCTCGTCAGGCGGCCTCGTACCCTGGCTCTAAGGTCCCTGGGGCACTGGCCAGGGACTCCCAATTCCAAAGAGGAGGGGGAAGGAACAGACATTTACTGCCTTCCTGCGAGGCTAGCGCTGGGCTGGGTCCCTTACTTTCTCCACATCAAACCTATGAGGGGGCTGCATTTCCATGCCCATTTCATAGTCAAATAAATAGACTCAGGAAAATGAGGCATGATCAGAACCCACATCTGAGTCACCCCCTAAATCATTAGCCTTCCCTGTCATGGAAGGGATCCCGTGAATATGTCACAGACTCCCAGAACGTTAGAGCTGGAAGTGCCCTGGAGAGCATCTTTTTCTGCTCTCTCCCCATTGTACAGCTGGAAAGACTGAGGCCCAGTCAAGTCACAGCACCGGGCCCATTCCCTGCCGCTACCCCCACTCACCAGCCTCCTTGGCCCAGTGCAGGATGGAGGTGACCTCGTTGCCCTGAGTTGTATTGCACTGGGTGCGCTGGGTCGCTGCGCTCACCCCCACGGTGCCCTCGTTGGCCTTCACCCCACACAAGTAGGCGGTGGCGGTGCCTGCGCTATCAGGGACCTGAGCATTGGTGTTGTATGTCTGCAGGTGGGAAAGGAGGCTCAGGAGATGGCCAGGCCTTGGTCCACCCTGCTGCCCCCGTGCCACCCTCCCCCAGCTCACACCACAGGGCCTGGGGCATGAGGAAGACAGAGAGGCCTCCCACAGCCTTTGAGCCCTGCTACCCACTGAGGTCCCCCTGGGGCCAGAGGATCACTCAGCTGCCTGCTTCCTAGCCCTGCTCCCTGTGCCCTGGCAGCCAGGGCAGCAGGAAGGGGTGGGGAGGCAACTCTCCAACACATGGAGCCATTTGGCAGAGGATTGGGGGCTGGGTCAGCTCAGACCTCTCTCTGGGTCTGGGGCTACAGGAGCCAGCAAGTGGGGTGGGAGGCAGAGAAGGAAGGGGGGGGTGGTTCTTGAAGGAGTGGGGCTGGGGGAGGGCGCCCGGGAAGGGGAGGGAAAGTGAGGGGGAGGCAGGATCCAGAATAGAGAAATGCAGAAGGGGCCCTCCCACGCCCTCCCATTCAGACCTCTAGTAGAGACCCTGAAACTATTTGCCTGTCTCCTTTCCCCACTAGCCTCAGAGCTCCTTGAAGGCACAGAAAACATTACAGTCCCTGCTATTCCGCTAGAAGTGAGCCCGGCCTGAGTCAGAGTGTCTAGAGGCTCTTTATTACAGAACATCACCACCAACAACAACTACACCCCGGTAACAACAGCCACCACTTTCCATCCGTAATCTAATTAACTTCCACAACCACCTTGGGAGAGAATGGATGCGACAGAACCACGTGCAAAAGAGAAGACACTGCATGATTCCATTTATATTAAGTACAAAAGCAGGAACAGCCAATCTATGGTGTTAGAAGTCAGGGTGGTGGGTGGGGGGCTAGGGACTGGAGGGGGCTCGGGGGGACCTCAGGCTGCTGTCATGTTCAGTTTCTTGACCTGGGCGCTGGTTATACAGACACCTGCAGTTTGTGAAAACTCAAGCTGCACCCTAGCGCACTTTTCTCTATGATGATATACTTCAACAGGTTTTTAAACCAATGAGCTAAAACCTTCAATATAAAGTCCTGGCAAGTAGCTGCTACTGTCCTCATCTCACAGTGGGAACACGGAGACCTCAGGAGGGCTGAGCACCTTGCCAGCAGGCTGGAGAGGTCTAAGAGAAGCCTTTCCTCTGCCCTTCCCTCCATAGGAGGCTGGGGCCCTGTGGGCGGGGGTGCTGGAGCTCACCTTGGAGAGGGCCACGAAGGGGAACTTGTCCATCTCCAGGCTGGTCTCCTCCCCGGGGCTGTGGTGGAGCTGGCCCTTGAGGATGCGGGCAGCCGTCACGGTGGAGACGCCCATCCCTGAGACAGGAGTGGGTGGCCTCAGTCTCTCGGGCTCCCCGCCTCTGCAATCAGCCCTCTCAGGCACCCATGGCTCTCTAGTTTGGTGCCAAGGCACGCTGGGCAGTGGGCACCAGAGCACAGCTTTGTAAATGTGACCAGGTGGCCCCTCTCTCCATTCCCTCCCCAGAACCTCAGGGCACCATCTGGCAGAGCAGATCTCCTGGGTCCACAGCCTAGCCCCCCATCCTCTTCAACACCCCCCCAGGACCCCAGCCTCCTCAACACAGCCCCATTCACCTTCACCTGGCCCCCTGGGTACCCCCATCAGCACCTCCCTTGGGTCCCCAGGCCTCACCATCTCCCAGGAACATGATGATATTCTTAGCCACGTTGGTGTTGAGATTCTGAAGCCTCAGGGCATTTTCCAGGGTCTGCTGAGCTTGGTCTCTCCAGTATTTGGGGTCTTTCTCTTTCTCTGTACAGAGAGGTGGAGTTATTTGGCAGGGGCGGGGGTAGCTTCTCATCCTCAGACATTACAGATACCCCAACTTCTCAGGCCTGAGGGCGGGGCTGCCTGGACTTGGGGAGGGAGCCGTAGTTGCCATCTCAGACAGCCATCATGTGGTTTATAAACACACGCTGGTCCAATCCCCTAAAAAAGCCTGTGGACCCTGGGTCTTCTCCTCATGTCTCAGACTGAAGAAACCAAGGCTCAGAGATACCAAGCAACTCGTCCAAGGCCACACAGCTCTGGCAGACACTGGCAGAGCTGGGCTTCACTCCAAAGCCCACGCTCTTTCCTTCCACCCAGTAGAGAGACATTCTGCTAAGGCAGCAAGTGGATTGTGCTAGCACAATGAGGAGGGCAATGTTTAACCTATTCAAGGGAACAAACTCCTTCCAACTGCAGGACTCCCCAGACAGATCCAGCCATCAATTATAAACTCTGCTCGGCTTATTCATTAAAGTAGGGTCAGCAGGAACCTGACTTAGCGACAGAATTAATAGCAGGGCTGGAAAGCAAGACTTGCCTTTTGTTTAAGGTATCAAATTTAAAGGAGCCACACACTTGTTAGGATAAATTAGCAAAGAGGACGTTCTGTGTCCTTAATCTTGAGAAAAATTGGGAACCTCTCTCTCTCTTTCTGTCTCTCTCTCGTGTCCATGTGTGTCTAGCCGTCAATCTTCCAGTGGAAAGAACACAGCTGCAGAGCCTGACAGACCTCAGTGAAAACCGCAGGTATGCCAAGTACAGCTGTGTGGACAAGTCACCTCTCTGAGCCTCAGTTTCTTCCTCTGTCAAATGGGATCGTTTGCCCCTTCCTCTCGGGGTCGTTATGAGGACGATAAGGCAAGTGACACACCTGACCCATGGGAGAAGATCAACAGCCTCCACCCCTAGTAATTCCACGCCAGACCTGGAACCCCTTTTTCTTCCCAGCAGAGGCCCAGGGTCCCTGTCCACGGGGGTCAGGGTCCTTCCCACCGTCTGCCGGGCTCTCCTCTGCACTTGGGCCCCATCAAACCTGCCCACCAGAGTACAGAAGCCCAGATACGGGAGCTCCTTGGGATTCTCTCTTTCAGTGGCCTCCCAGTGCACAGAGGGAAGGCTGAGGCCAGCAGAGGAGGGTCTTGTTCAAGGCCGTGTTTGTGGGCTGAGGACACATCCTTATCCTCTGGCCCAGCTCAGGCAGGCCCTTTGGGGCCTTTTGGGACAGCTGTGGGTGAAGAGCACAGCTCTCCTTCCTCACACCTGCATGGTCTCCAGGCCAGTGCCCCGTGCTTCACACACAGCAGAAGCTCCTTCACCTCCCGACAGCCTTATAGGGTGGCTACCATTATTTCCTCCACATGGGGAAATGAGGAAACTGTGGGTTCCGAGATAAGAGCTGAAGAAGAACAGGAAACCCCTACATCTACGTAGCTGTGCCCCTGCCTCGGGCAGGCAACACGGCCGAGGAGACAGAAGGAAGTGAATCTCTACCTCAAACCTTGGTCCATCCACACACCACACCCCTCCCCCAAGAGGCCTCCCCTTACATCACCCCCACCCCGATTCCTGGCACCTTCACCCTGGCAGCCTCCAGCGCCACCTCTCTCTTCTGAAGGTATCTGTAGAGCTCCCCCATTTCAGACCCCGCAGGCAGAGTCCCCAGCTGGAGTCGGGTGGGCCTTGGCCCTTCCATCCAGCTGTTTGCCTTTAGGAAATTTCCTTCCACTCGAGATTCTGCCCAAGGAAAATGGAAGAACATAGCTACCTACAGGCAGTGTTAGGATTGGAGGAGATGAAGACTGGGCAAGTGCTCCCGGCCAGTGGTTTTGATCAGGGATCCCCCTGGCTCAGGGCTGGTTCCGATCTCCTTCCTGCCTTCCTCCACACACTACCGTGCCAAGGCTCTGGTCAAGGAGCTTCTTCGGCTATTTGGGTGCCATCTGGGTGGTGGTGAACTTCCACCCATCCTGACCACCTACAACCTGCCCTCCACCCCCAGGGCTGCGCTGACACCAGCCTGTCTTGCGCCTGTTGCTCCTTCTCAACACGAGCTCTGACACCAGTTTGCCAGGTTCCCTGCCATTGGCTCCCTGTGAGACTGGGGGTCTGGCAAGGGCAAGCCCTTGTCTTATTCACCAGAGTCATCCCAGGGCCTGTCCCTGAGAAGGGTTTAGTAGATGTCAAACCGACTCCATTATCAGAGGACCAGTTTAAGCATTGATGGTTTTGGACAACTGAGTTTCAGAAGACCATTGTTTCTCGAGACCATTAAATGACACGCACAAATGCCCATGACATAATGAGCTACGTAAAGAGTACTTTACGATTCAGCATGCACTGTATGATTCTATTTGTATGAAGTTCAAAACAGGCAAAACTCGTCTATGGTGGCAGGAGTAAGCCTACTCACTTCCTTTGGCTTGGGGGGCGTTTGGCTGGGACTGACACAGGAAAGCCCTTGGTGTCCCATGACTGGAAAAGTTCTGTCTTGATCTGGGAGGTGGTTACATGGGTAACCCCAAGGATACACACTGAAATGCATCATGGGATCACAGAGGGAGCAATGGCCTGAGAATCCAGAAGTTCAGGTTCCATCCCCAGCTCTGCTACTGATATGCTGTGAGGACTGACCCTCCCTTCTATGCACCACAATTTCCTCATCTGTTGAAATTTATTCTTCCTGAGAGCACCCACTGGACAGACGGAGAAATTAAGGCTCGGGGAGGGCAAGTGGGGACTTCCAGCCACATAATGGATTGAGCCAAGGAGGGCTCCCCTCCTACAAAAGATACCAAAATGATGAAAAAAATAAACAATCAAGAACAGTACATAGCTTGAAAAAGGAAGAAAAGAGGGAAGGGAAATCCCCAGGAGGCAGACATAAAGAGGGAATTCAAAACCAGAGAGGTGAAAAGGAGCTGACACTGAGGGCCCCTTAAAGAGTCAGACCAGCTGCAGGTCTAGGTTGAAACTGTTTTAATGTGCGTGTATGGCCTTGAAGCTATGGAAGGGACAGGGAAAGAAAGCCTGGCATGAGAAATGTAAACTCCCCTCCAAATCTGACCCACATCTAAGAGGGGTCTGAATTTATAGTGTAAGAACCACAAACTGAGAAATTAACATAAAACTCGTCTAGAATTAAAGGATCAAACATAATGCTGCACTGTAGAAACACTTCCATCTGAATCTCCAATAGGAAAAAAAACACAGAACAACTCTTGTTGAAGATGAGTTCACAAGCAAAAATTACAAACCATGAGGAAGTGCTACCGTAAGAGTGTTAAGCAGACAAAAGCAAAGGAGACTGAACACAACAAGACTTGGAAGAGTTTATAGAATAAGTTAATTTCAGATTATTAGAGACAAGAGAGAATAGAAACCCCAATTAAAGAATGGGATAATATAAAGGGAAAAAGAGTGACCTATCCAACACTAGCACATGCAGAGCTGGCACTTCCTGCTCTGAACATTTGTTTCCAGCTCCTAAATACTTTGGATGGTTCTATGACCCTGAACATAGACACTGCCCTCATCCTTTCCCACCTGCACCAGGTCTCCCCATCCCTCCGCCTGTGCCCCCACCAATCCTACCTGGCACTAAGGAGTTGGTAAGGCAGGTGCCGATGGCCAGCACTAAGAAGGGTGAAATCATGGTACACTGCAAGACCTGCTTTCTCTCTGGAGCCCAGAGGTATGATCGACGTGGGTGGGAGGGGATGGGCTAGCAGTGGTCAGACGTTAATCGATGTTCCGATCCTAGAAATTAAAAAAAAAAAAAAAAGACATGTGGGCGACAGCTCCAGAGTTCATGTGTTCACTCACTTATTCATTCATTGATTCATTCATTAAGTATTTGTTGAGCACTTATTTCAGGCCAAGCATGGGGCTAGGCAGTGGCATGCAAAACCTAGATGGTCCTTCCCTCAGGAAGCTTAATCACACAAACAGTTGTATAAGTATAAATGAGTTCCATGCTGCAAAGTAGTTCCTTTCTATTTCCCAAGTAAACTCCCACTTTCAATCCATCTGAAGCCCGGAACCCACCAGAGTTCAGTCTTTCTGGGTAGTGCTTCTCAAACTGTAGCATGCATCAGAATCTCGTACAAGTCTTGTTAAAATAGATGCAATACCAGCCCCCACCCCACCCTGAGACTCTGATTGCATTTCTAACAAGCTCCCAGGTGATACTGCTGCTGCTGCTCATGGACTACACCCTGAGAAACATTGTTCTAAAACATCAGTCTTCAGCCTTTTGATTATCCGTGGCTGAGCACCTTAGAGACAAAACAGAGTCCCCCCTTTCTTACAGGGACACCTACATTTGCTCTTACAGGACAGCTACATTTGCTACCTTCTCTTCTAGAGCTCATCATTTATGGTGAGAGATATAAAAACTGTAGGAGTGACATACAGGAAGAGACTGGCTGGTAAGGATGATCATTTCTGGGTAGTGACATTTCAGATGACTCTGACCGTTTTTTCATTGTCTTTCCTGCATTTTCCAAATTTTCTTCTGTGTTGAGACGTTACCTTTATAACTTTTTAAAAATGTTATTTAAAAAAAAGACAGGGTGGGGGCTGGCCTGGCAGCATAGTAGTTAAGTTCGCGCACTCTGCTTCGGCGGCCCAGGGTTCGCGGGTTGGGATCCCGGGCTCAGACCTACACACCGCCCATCAAGCCAGGCTGTGGGGGTATGCCACATACAAAAATGAAGGAAGATTGGCATAGATGTTAGCTTAGTGACAATCTTCCTCAAGCAAAAAGAGGAAGATTGGCAGCAGATGTTAGCTCAGGGCCAATCATCTTCACTAAAAAAAAAAAAAACAAAAAACCAAACTGGAAGGAGCCAGCCCTGATGGCCTAGTGGTTAAAGTTTGGTGCGCTCCACTTCAGCAGCCTGGGTTCGGTTCCCTGGCATGGAACCTCACCACTCATCTACCAGTGGCCATGCTGTAACGGTGGCTCACACAGAAAAACTAGAAGAACTTACAACTATACACAACTATGTACTGGGGCTTTGAGTAGGGTGAAGAAAAGGAAGAAAAAAGAGGAAGATTGGCAACAGATGTTAGTGTAAGGTGAATGTTCCCCTGTAAAAAAAGAAAAAAAAAGACTGGAAGGAAATACATCAAAACATTACCTGTGGTTTTCTCGGGGCAGTAGGAGTATGAATGATTATTTCCTTTTTTTTTTATTTTTTATTCTTTTGATTCCTCCAAATTGCCTAAAATGGGCATGTATTAATGGCATAAGAATGTTTTCAAATTGTGGTCATCCCATTGGGATCACCAGAGATAACCCCATCAGCAGCTGAGAAATGTACTAACCCTGTTGTGTATAAATTACTGGAAGATAAGAAATTTTAAATGGCAAGAGTTTCACAGGGAAATAATGTTATTATTTCCACCAAAACTAAGATAAAAATGATTACTCCATTTGTTGTTGCAAACAGCAGTGATGCAAAATGTTCTACGGTTACAGCGTCATGATAGATTAGGAACCGCTCTACCGCTGAAAAAGGGGTCTTGATTCAGCCTTAAAAACGTGCATGCTGTGCTCCAGGCCACAGAGATGAAGACTCACTGCACTCCATCCCACAAAACCCCCAGCGTTCCCCAAACATGCCCTCCACACCCTTATGCTTTCCCTCCCCTTTCCTCATCTACCTGGCTCCTTAAAAACCCAGCTGGTGGGGAAGGGAGGGTGGGAAGTGAAAGGAAATACCCCACAGCTAACATCTAACAGCACTTAACTATGAGTGGTGATGGGATTTCAGACGATTTCCAATTTTTTTTTGTTCTACTTTAGTCTCCGAACGTTTCTGGAGTAAATCCTAACATCAGAAAAAAATGTTATTAAATTGATATATAGCATCGATATATTAAAATATTGTTCAAAACAGTTTAAAACTGAAGTCACCTCTTTCAGGAAGCCTCCAGGATGATCACTCATTCCAATATGCTACCTCTGAACTTCATACCACTTCAATCATTGCATGTAGCTCCCTGTTTTGAAAGTAATTCTTTCCTGGTCCGTCTCACCCATCACACTGGGAGCTTCTAAGAGCAGGGACTTTGCCTCGTTTGTCTGTACTCCAGTGCTTGGCACAGTAACTATTTACATCAGTTGGAAGGCAGTGCTCTAAGGAGGGATGCAGGAGGGAAGGAAGGATCACCCCAAAATCCTTCCTTTGTGTATGCAGAAAAGTCCAAGTGTTGGCAAGGATGTGGAACCGACCAGTGTGTCTGTTCACTGCTGGTGGAGTGTAGATTGGTACAACCAGTTTGGAAAACCGGCTGCATCTACCAAAGCTGACACCATCCATATGCCCTCCGACCCATTCATGTCCAACAGAAATGCACACATGTTCACCAAAAGACATGTACAAGAACACTCATAATGGCCTCAAAACCATGTCCATCTTCAGCAGGGCGGATAAATCCACTGCGTGGGTTCAGAAGATGGAAATCTACACAACGATGAGAATAAATGATCAACAACTCTACACAACAACATGGATGAATCTTGCAAAGGTAAAGTTGAGTTAAGGAAGCAGACCCAAGAGTACGTATGGTGTGATTCCCATTAGGTAAAGCATAAAACCTAACCAAGGTGTTAGAAGACAGGATAAAGGCTACACTTGAGGGGTGTGGGGACACAAGAGGGCAGAGGGGACTTGTGAGGTGCTCGTAAAATTCTGTTGATTGATCTGGGTGCTGGTTACATGGTGGGTTCAGTCTGAAAACCCAACAAGCTGTCGATTTATGATACTTTTCTGTATGTATGTTATGCTTCAATAGAATAAAAATACTACTCTCTGGGAGCTTATATAAACAATCTGTAAAGGACACAGACAAAGTGAAAAAGGCCTGTGTACTATACTTCAGCATTTATAAAGACTTTCACCATGATTTTTCACCAATAACCCATGCAGTGGACAGAGAGGGACATGTGATCTCCTTTGTAGATGAGAAAAACAAGGCTCTGAAAGGAGAAGTGACTTGTCCAACGTTACAAACAAACAGGTAGCAGAGCAGAACTCTGACCACAGGGTTGCTGATTACAGAATAGGCAACAAGGTACTAACAGTCACCCCCTAGGTGTGGGGCTTCCTGTTCCCCAATTGTGAAATAAAGGTTCTGAAGTTTAACACACGTATAGATTCCTGTAACCTCCACCACAATCAGGATACAGAATGGTTCTACCACCCCCAAAAACTCTCTTGTGCTTTTTCTTTGTAGTCACAGAAGCTCACCTCCACCATCCCTAAACCTGGGAACCCCAGCTCTGTTCTCCATCACTATAGTTTTGATTGGTATTGTATTAAATCTGTAGATCAATCTGGAGAGAGTTCACATCTTTGCAATGTTCAGTCTTCCAAATAAGAACACAGTATGTCTCTCCATGCATTTAGTTCTTTTTAGTCTTCAGTATACAGATCTTGTATGTGTTTTATTAGATTTATATCGATGTATTTCACTTTTGGGGAGCTATAATAATAGCATCGTTTTAAATTGTTCATTGCTAGTATATAGAAATGCAATTGATTTTTCTGTTTTGACCTTGTATCCTGTGACCTTGCTAAATTCACTTATTAGTTCCAGGAGTTTTGTGTGTATCTACGTGGATTCCTTGCTATCTTCTATGTAGACAATCATGTCATTGACAAATAGGGACAGTTTTAGTTCTTCCTATCCAATCTCTATGCCTTTTATTTCTTTTTCTTGCCTTATTGCACTGGCTAGAACTGCCAGCACCATGTTGAATAGGAGAGGCAAGAGTGGACATCCTCGCCTTGTTCCTGATCTTAGAGGAAAAGCATGCAGTCTTTCAGCATTTGAGGTGGTTTTTTGAGGTGTGAGATGGAGTAGATTTGGTGGGGAAAATAAAGAATGTGGTTTTGGACATGTTGAGTTTGCGATGTCCTTCAGAAGTGGAGATATCAAGTGAACAGATGGATATACACGTCTGGCACTTGGGAGAGGGGTCTTGGCTAGAGGTGTACACTTGGGAACCCTGGGCATATAAGTGGCATTTAAAGCCTTGATGAAACTTGACAAGATCATCTAGGATGAGTGAATGAAGACAGAAGACAACTATACGACAAAAGCCCTCAGAAAACCAGGAATTGAAAAGAATTTCCTTAACTTGATGAAGACTTTATACCAAAACCTACAGAACCATCATACTCACTGGAGAAACTTTTGGCATATTCCCTTTAACGCTGGCTTATGATTATAAGGATCTGGGGGCAAACTCTCTGTCCATAACTAGGGGAGTGAATTAGTAAAGGGTAGTGGAGGCAATATCTATGTGGCAGTGGAACTAAAACCAGAAGTTAAAACAGTAGCATGGATAGAGCTTAAAAACATAGGACTGAATAAAGAATGTAAAGAATAAAATGCAGTACCCTGTATGTAAATATAAACCACACTCACAGAACATGGCATAATTTACAAAGACTCACACAAATTCAGCAACATATTAAACACATCAGCATGAGAACCTTCAGGGAGTAGTGGGATTGGTCCTGGGGAGCAGGGATGAAGGGGAAAATGAATCAATAAAACAAAAACTGAGCTCATGACAGTACACCATGCACTGAGAAATATGACTTATTCAACTCTTTCTGCACCTCGGGTCCAAAACAAACAATAAGGAAAAATAAAAGCGAAGGGTGGCCCCAGGAGATCTAAAGGGCCCCTACAGCCCTGCATAATTATTCTTGTTAGTCTCTCTTCTCTGTTAGCCTGAT